CTTCCGCCTGAGAGCCAGTTGCTTTCTCGTCGTCCTTACCCTCGCCAATCCAAGTTTAATCTCTCCTATTGTCCAAGTAGTGAAAATAGTGGTAATTATGCCTAGTGGCATTGAAGCAGGAGTCTCTTTAGCAAGCTAAGGCTAGCCCGCTCTAATTCAAAATGTGTTCTATTCTAAGGCTCGGACGTGGAGCTGGCTCTATTAACCGATAACCAACGGTTGCTTTCCCACGGACCCGTAAGCCTTCGAGGCAAGTGCATAAAAGAGAGGGGAGGTAGCCCTCGCTAACAGAATCAAAGAATCGAAGTGCAATAGAGTGAAAAAAGGGAAGGCAGGCAAAGAAACCGAAGAGGGAAGTGACTCCATCTTCTGAAGCCGGGAAAGAATAGGCTTCGGGCATGGCCGAGTACGAGAGCTAGTTAGTTGCTAACCGGAAGAGAATCGAAGAATTAAATCCCATTTGTTTTGGTTGCTAGCGAGTGAGGGAATCGCAGATGGGCTTTTGACCTAGAAACTGACCTCGAAGCTCCAGCTTACTTCACTTCGGGGTTTAGCTATGAACCGTAACTTCAATCTCTTCTCTCTCTAGTGCTTCCGGTCGTGAACGTGGCCTTATTTGAACCCAAACCGGAGTTCTACTCCCATTCCATGGAGTGTGATTTTCGTTCTTTCTGACGATAGGATTACAGGAACTTAGAGAAAAGTGGAAACATAGGGAAAATGCGTATAAAACTGATCAGCTCAGGACGAGGCCTGGCGACGAAAAAAAGAGAAAGAAATTGAATTCTGAGGTACGATCCTAATTGCACGGGAAAAGAATTCCAGATTGGGACTCTTCCTTTACACGAAACTGGGACTGCTTTCTTTCCTACTAATGTTCAATCAGTTACTTGGCTTTCAGGAAAGAGACTGTATTGGGTTAAAGTTTGGGGTCGGGTATGCCACATCAGTCTGATATTAGAATACGCGCTAGTAGGGATGAGATTTTAGGCGTTCCCTGCTAGTTCCAGGATAGCTGTAGCACGTACGGAAAGCTCTTAGCAAGCCTTTGAGAGAGCTGGACTATGTTATGTCAATTGAAAGATGGGTTCCTCAAGTCTATAAGAGCCTCTTTTTCTATTTCCTCTCTAGCTGTAGAGGCTTCTTTCTTCAGTAAACCAAAAGAGCTAGCGGTGCTAGAAGCGCTTAAGGGTAGGAAAGACTCAGGTTGTGGTAAACCTGTCTTCCTTTTGAGATGCCCGGCTTATCTATATCTACCCAAGCCGGAAATAAGAGAAGAAAGGGTTTAGAACTACTTGCTTAGTCGCACCCCTGAACGTTAGTTGTAAACTCACTCTTCCTGAAGCAGACAGACAACCAGCTGAATCAAGTTCCGTTCAGTGCTTTAGAGATAGATGGGGAAGCCTGTCCTTCATCGCATCGATCAAAGAAAATCGATAAAGACAGAACAAAAGAAAAGAGTAAGAAATTGAACCGAGACAAGATCTATCTCTTATTGAACTTTTTGAATGAAAGAAAGCTGAAAGAATGGGCTCGCGAGACCCTAGTTAGGGCAGAGCAATAGCTGTAAGGCTACTGATGTAGACTGTTTAGCGGTTAGCTGCGGGTAAGGGAAAAGAGACGGTTTATGTTACGGCAGGAATGTTATGCTGGATTCAACTTTTGATCAGGAAGAGGAGGAAAAAAAGCTTATGATGAGCATCTATTTGAGTCGATCATTTCGAAGATCTAATTCAAGTTTTTTTTTATGTAGTGGAAACGCCTTACAATCTGAAGTTTTACGCTTAAGGGAAGAAATGTTCTTGGTAAATGCAGGACTTGGGACCCCCAGAATTTGTATGCAAGATGAGCTTACAGGAGTGCCAATCAACCGAGCCACCAGGTTTGAGAATAAAGTGGGATTCCTGGCCGGTGAATCACTGATCAAAAAGCTGATTTTGGAGAGATTCTTCATCGAGGCCGGTGAATCACTGATCAAAGAGCGAGCAGCCACCAGGTTTAAGGATTTGGTGGGATCTACAGATGTAGTGGCCGGTGAACCGCTTCTTCTTCTTCCACGAAAATTCAGACAAAACCGAGCTTGGATGGAACTGAACAAGCGAACGAATAAAAAGGTCAAAGGCTTTATTATTAAGATAAGAAAAAGAGGTTATTTAGTAACAGTAGCCATCGCAGGTTTCATTACTTTTTGTAGATTCCGAAAAAAATAAGGAAAAAGATATTGAATGATCGATTCACATTCACCATTAAGAGCATAAAGTTGAATCCCAAAAGCAAAAGGACGAAGATTGTGTTCTAAAATAAAATAAAAGCGAAAGATCAAACATTGATGAGCGCAGCAGCCCTTCCTCCAAGACTTGAATCAGGAAACTCCGATAGCTACAGGCCTTAGCCCCAAACTTCTCTCTCCCTACCGCTACCGGTCAAGCTTCTTTTGATATGGAGCTTTCCCCGGATTCTCTTGAGGTCGGGGTTGAAGAATCTGGGTACTCAACAATGG